GTATAGTTGAGGGATCAAAAAAGTGCAAAAAATTGTTAAGGGACCAAAAATGTGCAAACCACTATAGTTGAGGGACCAAATCTAGCATTTAACCAACAAAAAATATTAGAGGAAGAGGTAGTTTATAGGCATAAAGCTTCCTGTTATTGCCCTAATTGAAGTCAAAATTCTAATTTAAACTTTTAATGTCTATTTTTTTTTTTTGTCATTTTTTATCATTTTAAAGAAGCAATTACTTTAATATCAGAGCACTTTTATTGCTTCACTTTATTTCAATCATTTTATAATTATTTCTTTTAAGTAGAGTGCTTTAGAAATTTTGAAGTGGTGATGCCAATAACCGCTTTGCTTTTATTGCTTTTAATGGTTAAGTAATGGCATTTAATAACATTGAACTGAACATTATAAAAATTTTTAAATAAAAAAATATTTTATAAAAATATAATTTATCTTATAAAATTACTAAAATATATTTAATAAAATAATTTTTATATTATTTTATTAAAAATATTTTAATAAATTTATAAATCATTTATACTTTTTAATCTACCGTTGGGCGTTGGCCTTATAAATCATGAATTACTTTTTCAAAGCCTCATAACTCCAAACGTTTTATTTTTAGTATTTGTTTTTTCTTTTCAATCTAATCCTGTGCTTAAACGACGACATTTATAATAATATCTCCGTGCGTGCCCTACCTGCCCCGTCCGATTTTTCTAAGTTGTCCACTGCACACCATTTGACCCCAAAACCATTTTTCTTCATTTTCACAGCTACAGAGGAAAAGGATAGAGCTCCCCTGCCATGGCGATGAAGAATTTCACCATTTTCTTCGTCGCTCTTCTCCTCCTCGCTTCTCCTCTTCTCCAAGGTTCGATATTGCTATTCCAGATCTAGATCCGTACCACTATTTTCGTGTTTCTGTTGATTTCTGATTCCAATTTGGTGCATTTACGGCGAATTTCGCCTACTTTCTTTGTGTTCGGATTCATGCTTTTATTAACCCATGAATTTTCGATTGATTACTGGTTCTCTGTTGTTGAATCTTGATGTTGAACTTCTGCAGCCTGCTTCAACTTTCGATTGTTTCTGTTTTATATTGGAGCATACCATTTAATTTAGCTGTTTTGTTTCTCTTTGGTCTTATAGTTGTTAGGTGTCAATCTGAGTCGGAGGCAGAAATTGTAGAAGGAGGTGATATTGGGCTTGTTGGTGAGGAGGTTCAGGATTTTGGTGATGGGAACTTCGCTCCAGCATCTGGAATTGATACAATCTGTGTTTTCCCCAAAAACAGCGCAAAATGTAAGAACTTTTCTGTTATGATTTGCATTTCATTTGGAATTTTTTTTTTTATTCGTGTCTCATTGTTTAAACCTTACATTTGGTCAGTGGTTAATGCTGGTGAAGAGACTGAGCTGCTTGTTGGGATGAAAAATGATGGTAATTGATTGGAATCTTGACCACTATGTTGGCTTGTTTTGTTGGTTTTGATTGACGATGTCTTTCTTCCCTCATACTTGTTTAATTGAATTTTTCGTCTATGTAATTTTCCTCTCATGTGTGCTTAGCCTTAGCTTATTTTTGCATTTGGGTGAAATGAAAAAACTGCAGGTGAGTCAACTGTGAATGTCATCGCAATTAAAGCTACTCTACATCTTCCTTTTGATCATCGACTACTAGTTCAAAATCTTTCCACACAGGTAAGTTTTGCTTGAGTTAATGCTCAAAATTTACCACAAAAAATGTACATAACCACTTGTTTGTTAGTTTTATTTCCCCTCTGTTCTTATTATTTCAAAACTGAATAATCTTGGCTTTTTGTTTAGTCAGTAAAACTGGCTTTCTCTTGAGTTGTATTCTCTAGATCATTTTCATGGATTTCTTGTTTTATTGATTATTTTTCTCTTGGTGCTTTAGCCTTTAGGTGACACTGAATGGTCCATGGTTTGAATGTTGCTTTCTTTGGCCCAGTAGCCTGTCTGTGAATTTTTAAACGTTCACCGTTCTCTTGTTGTGTACCTATCTAGTTTATGTAACTTATAAATAATCTATCTATTCTACATGATTATAAGCATTTCCCTTGGCATGACATTATTTATGACCTCTGAGTCCGAAGTGTAGAAATGTTTTGATTTATTGATTTGGCTGTGCTTCAAAATATCTGCCCCTTAATAATATTGAGCATGTATCTGTATCTTTGAAATCTTTTAGTCTGCTTTGAAGGAATAAATTTTTCTTGTAGCTTCTTTTGCTCATACATTTCTGTTTCTTTCTTATTTGGATGTTTTTGTGTGTGTTTTGCTCATATATCTACATTTTTTCCTTCTAATTTAGGGCTTTAACAATGCATCTGTGCCTGCTTCAGCTCAGGCTACTTTCCCATACATATTTGCTGTGAGCAAATATTTACAGGTACGTGACTACCTTGGGGTTGGTTTGTTACTTGGAATTGTATTCAAATTAATCTTAAAAATCTGTTTCTTGTGGTTAACTGGACATGTCTGAATCATATATGCAGCCTGGAACTTTTGATCTTGTGGGCACCATAGTTTATGAGATTGATCAGTACCCATTCCAGAGCACCTTCTATAATGGTACCATTGAAGTTGTTGAGTCTGGTGGTTTCCTTAGCGTTGAGTCTGTTTTTCTTGTTACCCTTGGGCTTGCACTTCTTTTTCTCCTGGGATTATGGCTTCATGGTCAATTTCAACGTATTTCCAAGGTATTCACTTCCTGCTACTATTTGATTGTTTCAATATTGTCTTTAGTTTTTATGGGGAAATGAATAAACATAAGATCCTCTAGGTACATATTTCTGTTTCTTAATTATGTAATCCAATTGTATGAAGCTTTATCATGTATGAAAACTTTGTTTGGAAAAGCACACTCAACCTAATGCACTTGATACACATTCATTCACATAGCATTTATTTAGCATTTGCCATAAAAGTATTATAACCATTTTGCTCTTGTGATGGAATAAACTAATTTGATTGTTTGATTAGTCTTACTAGTCTCAAGCAAGAGTGTTAAGTGCACTGTTACTTTACTGTGTCATCCTGACTTTGGCTATAAATAAATTAAGGATGAGGACAAAGGGCCAAAGGCTGAATGATTGTGAATTCTTAGATATATGTTGGGTGTGGAATTGATGATTGCCTGAGTTATATTGGCATCCATTCCATGGACTTACTAGGATTGATGCAGGAAATTATTAAATGGTTTCCTTGAGTTATATTGGCATACATGCACAGCTATCATCACATCTTTATTTTATATCTCTTATGTTTTCGTTACAGAATCAATCTAACATGATTGTATTTTCTTTTAGAAAAACAAGAAGGCTCCAAAGGTGGAAGTTGGAACTCGATCTACTGATGCATCAATGGATGAATGGCTTCAGGTAGTGATATACACCATCCTCACACTTATTTCATGTTAATGCATTTGCTTTTTGTTTTCAATTCTTGCCATTATTCAACCTCCATTCATTTTGTTTCTCTTGGTGTGTTATTGATTTGGTCCTGAATTTATTATAAGATGGGTTTGTCACAATCTTCTCATAGTTGATCATCAGAAGACAGCTGCTGATATGTTCATGTTCTTACTTGTTTTGATATTCAGGGAACTGCATACACTCAGTCACTGTCCAACAAATCAAAGAAGAAGAAGTAGATATGCATTCTTCCTCAATTTCGCTGCATCAGGCAAACATTAGTGAAGTGCATCCCTTCTGTAACTCACATCTAGGAGTTTCCAAATTTACACGAGCTTATAGGTAGTTTTCAAAATTAGGCCCAGAAAAAGACGTGTCAGAATTTTAACGGTTTCCAGGGATACTGAATTTTAGAGCTTTTTGGAACCAAATCTAACTGTTGGTTTTAAGTGGAAAGGTACAATTTTGTTAAACCTTGGCTATGCTATTTATCTGTTCCAAATTGTTATCTTTCAAGGCACCTAGTGTTCGCCGCTCATATGTGATGCCATGCTTTTATTGGGCTGGGCTGATTTCCAAGAGGTTAAGGGTGTTTTTTTTTTTTTTTTGACTATAAAAAACATGGCTAGTAAGTTAATATCTGTTCGAGAATTGATCGTAGAGTAGACTTGATGATTATGAGTTGCATTCCACTTTGCTTCTCACATGGAGAAACGTGACCACTCAGGCCACATAGGGGAGTGCAAGAGGTTAAGGGTTTATACATCACAAGTGTGACTTTCCAGTCCAAAAATTCAAGTTAAAATACAATGGAACTTAAAAATTATAGGTTGTTTAGTTTGGATTTTATCAATCTATAGTATTTTTTCCCTTTAAGCAACTGGTCAGAGTGTTTGGAAACATTAGATCATAGGCAAATTTCATACTGATATCAGCTGTCTATCAACTAATAGCTGTAATTGTCCAGTATTACTGACAGCCAAATTAAGTCTCTGAATAGACGTTTTGGTCGTTAAAACCTTAAATTTCCACTTTTAAGATTTTAGGTTCAAATTTTAAGATTGATGAGGAAGAGCTTGGGAAGGGAAAGGCTAACAGCCATATTAAACAGAGGTTATAATGTTATATCCCTCACGTAAGCAAAATTTGCCACTACTAGTAATAACCATCAAGCGATCCACGGGGTAAAGAAACACGAGAGCCAACCCAAGCAGAGGATGACCTCAGCCCACCATCTGATGCAGTGTCCCTATTGTATGCAGTATGCTAGACTTTCTTGTATCAATGTTTTTCTTCGCTGCTTGACATGAGTTTATGAATAACAACTTTCTTACTTTCAACATCATTTACATTGGCCATGGGCACACACTGTTTCATTTTAAACATAAATTACTGTTTATATACAACAGATCATATTGTGTATAATGTTGGATATAGCTGGGGCAGTTAGTAGGCCTTACAATATGTAGATATAAATTCCTTGTATCTCACATCACACTAATACATGTGCAGTCAATATATGTAAGTACATGTTCTCATCCTTATTGCCCTCAACTTCAGAAGCACGAATATTTTTATAGCCTTCAATAACCTGTATTCAGGGAAAGCAACTCCTTTAGTATACGATGGTAAAGTTTGAAGTAGACCAGCAACAAGAAGGGATGGAGTTTTGGTACTCTATCTCATTAGTCTAAAATTCAACAACATTGATCATCTCTAAATGATGCTTCCAGACAAGGAAAATTAAGGGAAAGGGAACCAGATGATAAGAAACCATGTGTACTAATAAGCAACATAAAGGTCAATGCAACATCTTATTCACCATTAAAGCTACGATAAGAGGAAAGAAGGAAAAAGGTCGTCTATCACATTTCCAAAGGGTTGTAGTGCTTTTGTCAAGTAAAAGCAAAGTTAAAATATGGCATCTCAAGGTAAAAAAATCTAGAACCCTCCTTCTTCCACCTGTTTTTAACTATTAGAGACTTGGATTGGACTTTGGACAACAATCAAAACTACTAGGAAATGGAAACAAGTAGAAACAGATGCAATCAAGAAGTCAATAACTTCAGCGAAAAATGCACATGGAACCAAAAATGTTAACAGCAAATAGTAGGATATGCTAAGACAACTTGTACCAAAATTGTACTGAAGATTAAAAAAGTCCAAGCAAGAAAACTGAAAACAACTAAAAGTTCATTTCAAATCCATATCATATTCAAGAAGAAGCATGAAAATTGGACTAGGTGTGCCTAATCACTCTAGGTGGAGCCAAACACCCAGGTCCACCACCTAATGGTTAAGCATTAACATGGTAAACTAAATAGTCTGTCATTGAAAAAAGAAAAAAAATAGACTGTTCTGCATTTCAATAGTTAAATAGCTGTATTAATTAGATAAGATAATCCGTGAAGTTAAGTAAGGAACTAAATTTTACCATAAATTTAAGTCTTTCTCTAAATAAAGTTTATGCAACACATTGTGCTGCCAACACCGGTTAAATATAAAAATTTTTGTATTGAAAAGAAGTATACATCTAGCAAGAGATGAGATGCAGAGCTAACCATGGATTAGCTTCATATGATTCATACTATACAAATCTGTTTGTTATGTATTGGTAATCATAATATCATATTAATTTTTAATGTCCATACTAACAAGTAACTAACAAACTATTAGAACCTATATGGATAATCTTTGTTGACAAATGATAGGATAAGTATATTGTTGAGGAAAAGAGGTTGAAATAGTAACTAAATTAGAGTCAGATACTGAATAAAAGAGTAAAAAGTTAATAAGTCCCGTTACCTGTTTTAACACCAAGGGCTGAAGTGGTGGTAGAGGCAGGGCCAACCTCTGCATGCTTGAATTCCTGCAACTGCTTAAAGTTCATCCATGGCTTTACCCATATTTTGGCTTCATATATCTTCTCCTTACCCCCATCAATCACTTCCATAGTAAGATGGTAGATTTTGCCAGCAACCACCTGTTCCTTTGCCATTAATACCCTTGCAAACTCAAGCAAGGTATTCTGCAAGTACCCATCATAAACCAACATGTAAACTTCAGAATTCAATTAACAAAGAGATAAAAATCACAGAATTTTCCAGAAAAAATCAAAAGTTGAAGTTAGAACTTTAAAGAAACCTCTTTCTTGCAAGAACCCATCATAAACAAACAGGTAAACATCAGAATTCAATTAACAAGGAGATAAAAATCAAAGAATTTCCCAGGAAAAATCAAAATTTGAAGATAGAACTTTGAAGAAAACCTCTTTCTTGTTGTGCTCCTGAACAGCAAACCGCGCAAGGCTTTCGATCTCGGCACTGTTTTGGGCGCCCTCGCAATCGTTATAACCCCCGAGTTTCATCCGCAGGAAGTCGTCTCCTCGGCAAAGACCCAAATCGAAAAACGCAGAAAGCAGAAGAACAGAGAAGATGAAAATTGAGAAATTCTTCATCTTGATTCGAACCCTGAGTCTTTACGCAGAAGGGGAAGAGAGACTCAACGTGGTTCTCAGCACAAGAAATAGAGGAAGAAGTTGGGTGGAGAATTCCATCAATTCAATGAAGACTTTAAATTTCATCTTCACAGTTAATCTTTTTATGATGTCTTGATTTCATCCCT